TGACAATGAGTGTTGGTGTAATATGCTCTAAACTGTCATAACAATTATTTATTCTCAGGTAAATGCAGATTTAGGTTTTTCATTTGGGAATTTGTGATTTTTAGAAGCATACATGTGTATTTACCCATCAGGTTATAACAGTATGTACCTATTTTGTTCTGCACTCCAATCATCAAGTTGAATCAGTATTTGTTAAGGAGTGTAGAAAAAAGTTTTAAGGTACCTTCTAAAACTTTTCTTAACAGACTGAAAGAGTATTAACCAATAGAATCACTTTCTTTTTGTTTTATATTATGGAAGATTTTTTTGTATTCACAATGTTTTTATATTTCATCTTCAATTAAATATTTAGAGTGGTTTATATTAGCTCAGTTTTGTGAACTTTATCTAGAAGTTTATTTTGGTGCCCTCCCTCTCCCTTTATATAGGGTATTTATAACTTTCCCTCTTATTGTTTCATACAGTGAACTAAATAGAATGGTTTGCAGCTAGTTTGAGATGTAATCCCAATGTTACAATTCAGTTTACAAAATTTAGGAAAGTTAAAAACAACAATGCATCTCACTCAAAGACAGATCCTGTTGCTAGCCATTGTGGTGGTGTTATCCATTCAACACTATAATATAGCAATTATTACTGTGGTGTTTTGATGTTTCCTGAATCATTCCTTCACTTTAAACGAATATGTAACAGTTTACTCAAATAATTTCTAACTACTTTACAAAACTTTTTTGAAAATATTTTTCCTTGTCTATCAAATGTGCTTCATTAAAAGTTAAATCTCATACAAAACAAATGTTTATGTTCCAGACAAATTTGAGCTTTTTTAAGTTATGCATTATTTAAAATAAAAAGAAAAGACAAAATTGTTAGGTCATTTATTTCCCATCCTTTCAAGCTCTAACTTTGCCACTTGCTTGGAGATTAAATAATTAGCCTTTTCTAGGGTAGAACCTTAAAAGATGAACGCAAGTCCCATTAATATGCAATTCCACTTAACACATGGACACTTTAAAATCTTACAGCCACTGGATATTAGAATCAATTATAGAATCATAGTTCAGTTGTGTATGTTCTGAAAGTATTTTTAAAAATGTGATTTCATCTATCTTTTTATGGGCTGTACCAACGCAACTGACTACATTCTCTTCCAGTGAGAGGTGAATGGCAAGGTGACTTAAATAAGTCTTGCTATGCAAATGGGTTATGACTACATATGTAGATTACTCAATTCCCACTATGATGGTAAGCCCCATCATGAATGGATAAAAGAGACATTTATTTTTCTCAGCCCAAACCACAAAACGTGGTTACTACTTATCTGGGAAATAAGGCAATTGAGCCAGTTATCTGTGGAAAATCCAGGTCTGACCTATTTATAAGAGTCTCTTGCGTCAAATGCAGACAACATAGTCCACAGCATTCCCTCTGTCAGAAAAGGGTCATTAAAAACAAAAGGTGAGATTTTCAAATGAGCCTGATTTAGGTGCACAAGTCTCAATGACTTGGGAGGAATCGCAACTTTAACCCAGTTTGATCAGTACATTGAACACAGTGTGTCTTGTCTACATTAGGCTTTTCAAACATGTTAGCTAGCACATATTAGCAAACATCACACATTTACATCCTAAGCTAGAAAAGGTTTTAGGCTGTTTGGAAAATCCCAGCCAAAGTGTTTCTCTCTGAGCACTAAACTTTATCACTCATACTCACTCCCAACTCAGAAACCCAATCTGTAGCTTTCAGAGTAGCAGCCATGTTAGTCTGTATCCGCAAAAAGAACAGGAGTACTTGTGACACCTTAGAGACTAACAAATGTATTAGAGCATAAGCTTTCGTGGACTACAGCCCACTTCTTCGGATGCATACTGTAGTCCACGAAAGCTTATGCTCTAATAAATTTGTTAGTCTCTAAGGTGCCACAAGTACTCCTGTTCTTTTTGCCAATTTGTAGCATTACTCTTCTGAATCACAGCTTAGGTTATACTGAAAGACTCCAAGGAACAGATTCTCCTACAGTAGTTCATTTGTGCAACGACCTCCTCTGTCACATCTAGAGCTCTACTCTTTGGCCTTCTGTTTTGAGAAATGGAACTTGAACTTTGTCTAGATAACTGTATTACAAGCCAAGCAGCACTCTGAAGTTTATACATGCCTTTAAGGTAACTTTTTCTTCTGTAAAACATTCAAATACAAGGAGCCAAGAACATTAAAAACTTGTTTGAGATTTGTTTATTGTCCAGATCAAAATGCTTGACACTTCAGTTGCATTAGTCTGGTCATACAAGTGAACACGCCCAGTGACCCAGCTATTCTGTATAACTAAACTTGGACAATATTACATAGCTCACATATTCTGTTGCTGAATGATTAACTTTGAAAGGACTCCTGTAGCAAAGAGATAAGTAACAAGTTAGGAGTATGAAAGCCTCAATGACACTGTGAATTCTTTTTAAAGATGCTGCCATTTCATGAAAACTAGTTATTCGACTTAGTGACAATACTGCATATGCTATTTCCATTTTCCTATCATTATATGCAAACAGGAATAGCTGAATGAAGTCAGAATCTTAGATGGCTTGTATATACTTCATCTGAATTAAGATAGGCTAGCAAAGTTGTGGGCCATACAGTCCACAGTAGTTGGGAGAGCCACATTCTAACTGTGAGACCTCTTTGCTGTTTGCTATTTCCCCTCTACTCCCATACCGCTCTATTTTTGGTGAACATATTTGAGTATCCTATCCTTTGACCTACAGTAATGACAATAGTAACACTTTGTCAATTTACAAGAAATGACCCATAGAATTGGTTGTGGTGTATACCCCAACTTCCTGTTATTCTGCCCACACAATAATGTGTGAGTGCTGACGAACATTTAAGTGTTAAAGATAGGATCAGAGCATTAGATGTTATTACATTTATATACAGTACTTGTATCTTTAGAAGCTACACAACTAGACACTGGGGGAAGGGATATTAATCAAATGGTACCAAACAAACCCTCGGGCACTGTACTTAGTACTGGGGTTGTCAGAGTTGTGATTTCAGTAACAAAAAAACCACGAGATGCACTTTATTAGTCAAAAGTATGTTTTGTCACCTTCTACTGGAACACTATGGTTCTTATTGTTTCCTGTAACTACAATGAAAAGGTTGGCTGATAGATGGTAGGGCCACTCAACCACTATGGAAACCTCCTACCCATAGCCTCTTTCTAACTGCCCATAAAACATACCAACCTTGAAGAAAGATTCAGCAAGTGTGGCAAAAGATACCATGTACAAGATATCCATAATTTTCCAGTGTTTGAGTAGAGTTTAACTGTGATTGTTGCTTAAATTTCAAGGAAAAAAAAAAAGGGTGAGATTTTAAAAAGCAAGCGAGGGTCTTAGAAGCACAAGTCCCAGTGTACCTAAATAGTCACTTAGGCTCTTTTGAAAATCCCAGGCAAAACTTTTACAATGTTATTTCAAAGTGGACTTTTATCAGCAAAGATAGTTTATGGATTCCCTCAATTTTGACTATTTTAAAAGGGATAGTCTCAGGGAAGGAATTTTCCCCTGGGTCAGATTGGCAGAGACCCTGGGTTTTTTTTTGCCTTCCTCTGCAACATGGGACACAGCTCACTTGCATATTTAAACTAGTATAAAGGGTGGATTCTCTAACTTCAAGTCTTTAAATCATGATGTGAGGACTTCAGTAACTCAGCCAGAGGTTGTGGGTCTATTACAGGAGTGGGTGAGGCTCTATGGCCTGCAGTGTGCAGGTCAGACTATCACTAGATGATGATGAGCCCTTGTGACCTCAAAGTCTATGAGCTTGAATCGTTTCCACATTGCAATTATTTTTAAAAAATATTCAATTTGGTAAAATGCTTGTGTTTTCAAGAGCATGCCTGGAATTTTTCTTTTTTCTTTTTAAGTAGTACTAGAATTTTCTGCTTCCTTGCAGATGTTTTTAAGGGACTTTTCAGCAAGGAACAGTTCTTAGGGCCACACACATTACCTCAATCCTGACCTCACTTGCTGAACAACCTGGGAAGTAGATATCTATGGAGCAAAAGGGGCTTCCTTGGAGTTTGCAGAGAAAAGGCCCCTTTCCCTGCCCCCTTGCTCTGTGCAGGCATTCTGGGAAAGAGGACACCCTGCTGGTGCCAAACTCAGAAACAGTAATGGTGTTACTGCTACTTATGAACACCCTTTAGGACAATCCAGAGAAACAGGAGAGCTCCCTTCAGACCAAGGTATGAGAGTATTGTTCAACATATGAAATTCCTTCAGAGGAAGCTAAAGTACCCTAATGGAATAGTTTCCATTTCTTTCCATACACAGCTATGACACTTGTCAATAGAAGACTGTAACAGGTGTTAAGTTGAAGTAAGCTATAATCTTCAGAGGGAAATTTGGTCTTTAGCTATTTTAGAACTGTTAATCTGTCCAAAAATTTACCATTTTTTGAATGTAGAAGTTTAATGCTTGCAGTGAATTGGGAACATCAACTCCTAAAGGTAACCTGTGAAGAACCTGGATTTGTGCCTTTATTTTTTCCCTATTTTTTTTTTTTTACACTTTCAAAATACCAGGAATGTCAACTTTGGTATCCCTGCGTTTTGGTAGTAGACTTGTTGGGAGTGAAGGGGTATCACAGAACAAGTTTATTGTGAGCGCCTCAAAGGAGATAGACGGCTTTTTGTAAAGATTGAATACCAGTCTCCAAGATGTTCATTAGTCACGGAAGGCAAGTAGTTGAGTAGTCTGACTTAAAAAAAAAACAAAAAACAAAAAACCCAACAATTCTTCCCCTCTCAGCTTGTATTAAACTCCTCAAATTCACCATTTTACTCTTTTGCAGTAACTATAGAATTTCCAATATAAAAGCCACTCAAATTTCCTTTAAGAAAGTCTAACGATTTGTCTCTCTCACAAAAGAGAAAGTAAATGCCCCTACCAAAGACAGTAACTCATGCTTTCAAAGAGAAACCACAATAGCAGCTAGGGTCATGGTGAACTAGAAGCTCAGTTTATTAGCATGTTGACTTACACATGCAGACAGATTTTATAGCTAACATGAAGAGACTACATTGCACATCTTCAGACCCATGACCTTGTCTTCACTTGATATTTTGTCCATACAGTTCATCACGGGGACAATCCTATGAGAGATTTAAAGAATGTAATAAGTCATTTGCTGTAAGGAGACAGGATGTTAGCTTTTGCAGTGTGTTTCTAAACAAAAGTAGTATTTATTCATAATGGGGGTGGGAAAAGAGTTGTCTCAGTTCAAGTGCAAAGGTTCTGCCCTGTATTTTTAGAACTGCTAAGCCTCCTCACCCAGTGGTCATCCTTGTGGTAGAGAAAGACTAGACCGAAGGGCCCCCGAGAAATTAATTACTTCGGGCTACATTCACAAAGCGACAGCAATTTTGGGGGCTGGCTGGTAAATCCTCTCACCTGGGAGGTGAGATCCAGGTTTGAATCCCTGATTTGGAGCAGGGACTTGAACATGACTCTCCCACATCCCATTAAATGCCCTAACCACTGAATTAGAGAGAGTTACTTTCTCTCTCACTAGCTCAATGAACAATGATTTATTCAACATAGAACAGCTTCAACATAAAGAGACCCACCCATGAATATCTGACAGCTGAGTGGTTAGGACACTCCTGTTCAAATTCCACTCCAATTCAGGAATTCAAACTAGGAGCTCCCACCTCCCAAGTGAGTGCCCCGATTTGTAAATCTAGCCCTGTGTGTTCAGGGGACAGAAAAACACTAAGAAGACTGAAGTTATTTACTTTGTCAACATTTGTAACAGATGATCCTAGTTCAGTTTGTATTTCAGTTTTTACCTTTATCTGCAAATTTTTAGATAATATTGCTCCAACTTCTTGAAGAGTGACACTATGCAGACATGGTTTCTATCAACAAATACAATGGGAGTTTTGGCCAGGATGCTGAAGAAAAACATGGCACCTTTACTGAGAAAGATCGATATCTCCACTAGACTGCAGTTCTAGTTACATGACTTCATATAGTCTTTGGTCTGTTTTGACTAGCCAGGCTAAACCAACAGGTACACACTAGATTTCTCATCCACAGTCATTCCAGTCCATAGATATCTGGAAAGACTCCTCTTTAATTGCTTGCAGTGTACATTTCCTTACAAGTGAAGGGACAAATAGTATCCACCTTTCACAAGCACAAAACATTTGCTCAACAGAAAAACAATGTAGATGAGATTAAGTTGCTTATTAACCATCTGGGGAAGAGTTATTTAGGAATGAACTTTGGCTCTGTGTGCTAGGTTGGGTGATGGGGTGTGGTGGGGTGCACAGTTCAGGGACCAAATCAATCGCTTGGTCTTGTTCAAATGAAGTGGAGGAACTCAAAAAAAACAAGAAAAAAAAAAAGAACAGCTATTCAAGCTAAAAGCTTTTAAGCTGCCTGTAACAGTTTGACCCAACCAGACACATATAGAGCTCAAAGTCCACACAACCTAAGCTCTTGTTTGAACGCTGAGAGGATCTCATTTTACTGAGCTGAAATTAAATAGTTTCCTCCTATCCCTGAGCCAACCGATAGTCCGAGAAATCTACACTCAACATGCTACTTAATAGCCTATGCAACTAGTCTTATGCACCAAGATCTGGGCTACACCTTCCGCACAGTGTACAAACTACCTGCAGGTTTGAGATTGTTGTTAACCTGAAAGGTAATATGAGAGGATTCCTCAATATCACTCACCGTTAGAAGAAGTTAAGAACCTATAATAAAGGATCCAAAAAACCCTTCCCATACTATTTACTTACATCTTACTCCTTTTTAGGCTTCACTATTTTTATAGTGGCCCCAGCAGCTTTTTCTGCCTCAGCTTTGTATTGTGGTTTCATCGCTGCTCTGACAGCATTGGCACAGATCTGGGAATAGCGAATGTAGCTGAAAAGAGGAAATAAACAGGATGAAAAACCAGGTGGGGCCCAAGAATTAACATAATCAGTTCCAGGGACTCTAGCTCTACCGGGAGCAGGCGAAGGTGCTGCCAACAACTGCACTGCCATGTTTTTAGGCAGTTCCCTACGTGAGGGCCTGCAGCAGAGCACCCTTCCCAGCGAGGCGCCCTCCTCTGCCTCGTGAGCTAGTCAGTGGGTGTGATCGCACGGGGGAACAGGCTCTCGCCCTTGGCCCCACCAGACCACGGGGGCTGAAACTAGGGGCGTGGCAACACCTCCTTGCTTGAGATTGCTTCCATCATCTACAGGGTTTAGTTTCGTTCAATGGCTTCCCGCACCTCACTATAGAATCTGTTCCAGTGCCACGAGCCGGGGCCGCTCCCCAGCTTGGCAGTGGCCAGGCTGGGCTCCCAACCGCGGCTCCCCAGGGGCCTCCTCCCGGCCGTGCCTGGACCCCAGGCGGCTACAGCCCAGGGCCACACCGCACACCTTGTCCCGGGCTATAGACCCTCCGCTCAGAGTCACTGAGGCGCCGCTGCCCCACTAGCGTCTGAGGCACCTCCCAGCCAGGCCTCAGCGCTTCCCCTGCGGCCGCTCCCCGGCAGGAGACGGGGGTATGGGGCTGGCCGCGAGCAGCCGGTACCTGAGCCCGGCCTGTCTCCAGTACGCCACCATGGCTGCGGTTCCGGGGCCTCAGGGAGCAAACAGCCGGGACCCGCCAGCCCCAAGGTCAGCGCGCGCCGGAACAGGAAAGGCCAAGGAACTCGCCGGTAACCAATCAGAAGCCGCCCCATTTCGCCAATCAACGCTTACATCCCCTCAAGGAACTCGGCCAATCGCAGCCAACGAACTGTTCCCACCAATCGCAACCGGATTCCTCTGTGCCGCCAATCAGAGTGCGGAGTGACCTGGCGCCGCCCCCCACCCCATTTGCTGCAGGGTTTGGTCGCACAGCAGTGCGGGGAAGTGGCCCCTGTGCCACCGCCCACGCACCACGGGTCCATGGCGCGTCCCGAGCCCCTGCAGGCAGCCCCTTGCCTTGGGGGCTGAAATCTCACCCAGGCCGAGCCAGTCACCGCGGGGCTGCCAAAGCAGCCCGGGGTTTGCACCCAGCGCTAGTCCCGAGTGGGGCACCCCCCAGTCCCGCTCAATCCACCTCCACCGCCCTGACTAGGTTGTGGGAGCATGATAACCCCTGCCTGGCATCGTTAACCTAAACCGCCACCCTTCTGGCTGAAATCTGCTTCACCTACTGCTGCCCCAGGTGGCACCCAAGATCTGTGTGGCTGAACGAGATGAGAGAACATGCCTCCCTTTCTGTTTCTTGGTGCATTCAAGAATGCTTTGGGGGCAGCTCCACTCTTCCTGATCGATAGCCAATTAGCACCTGATTCAGGGTTCCATAGAGACATAAGAGGCCCACCTACAAGGAACAGCACAGGATCAGGGCCTTGTGAATATCCCCCTGTTGCTTTGTGTGGGTCTTTAACACAGCAACCAGAGAGAGAGAAACCACTAAAATTGGGGGAGGGGGTGTAAGGGGAGGGGAGGTGTGGTATCCAGAACCACTTCCAGAACTCTCTTGAAACTGACTGGGTTTCAAGTTGACTGTGTTCACTGAAGATTATATTTTTATGAAAATGTTGTTTAATGTTCAACAATCTGGGGTTGTTGTTAACCCTAGACACCACAGCCCCAATCCTGGCAACTGGCTCTGGACTGGCAGACCTCTGACCTGCATAATGTTCCAAACACTAATGGGGTGCTACATGTGTTCAGAGGTCTGTCTAAAGGGAACCAGTTTCAGGATCAGGGCTTTGGTTTTTCATTTCTAAAACCACTGCCAATAACTTGCCTGAAAATCACCAAAAGTTAGGACAAAATAAACAGAAAGGAAACCCTAATTATTTTCTACAAGGCTGGAGAACAGTGGATGGTCTTATTCATCATCACATAATGACATCTTACATTTATATAACACCTTTCAGTAGGTTTTAGGTTACAACTGACTAAAACATAGCTGAAGCAAACATCTGAGAATATGCTTTTATAAAATGCACATAATCCATACCAAGATAATCATATTTGAAGAGATGAAAATTGTTAGCAAAGGTGTCTGCAGACCCTAAAATTCTCCCACAATCACTGAGACCTCATCCTTGGGAAAGTGAGGCTTTAAAAGGGTCCTCCTTTAGATACAACAAAAGAAAACTGTCTTTTTTATATTTGTATACTCCTGAAAACTATACCCATAATTTGCCTAAACATAGACATGGAAAAGGAGGGAAAATATATATCACTAACCAGAAACCCAATCTAATCATTTTCTACAGTGGCCTGAAAATGGTGGGTTACTTTACATATATAACAACAATAATTAAAAAAATGATGGACCCAAGCATGCCCTCCTGCAAATTGAAGGTCAGAAGTTTGAGGATGAATCTCTGAGCCTCCCTTATGGAGCCTGAGCCAAAGCTCATGTAAATCAATCGGAGTAATTTCATTTACTTCAATGGGCCTTGGAGCAGACCTATTGAATTGTTCCACTGAGGTATGTGCATGTGAGTCCCCCACCCCAAAAACAAAACAACAAATTATGGATCCTCTTGGATCAACATGGGTGTAAGGGAATCCCTGAAGACCTGTGCCATCCATGCAGATGCGCTGTTCTTCCATGGCTATTCTGAGCTTTGCTGCAGTCTGTCTCCATAGAAGCTACACTGCAAAAATTTCCTCAACAGAGACTGCCCCTTGGAATGCCTTTAAAGGAAACTTCTCAAATGTGAAGTGGCTCCACTATGACGTGAAGCCTCAAGCAGATTTACTGCTGGTTGCCTTCCGAGATGATATATTTATGCTGGCCTGCTCCCGGTGCAGGAGTCCTGGGAAGGGGCAGAGACGGTGCTGTGGAGGTGGATTTAAACTGGGCATGATCTGAAAACCAGCCTCTTTCTCTCATCCTTTCAGAGCTGTTGCCAGAAAAGCAGCATTTGAAAGGTCCATGTTGGAAGCAAAGCCTATTTCGTTCCATCAGAGAGAAGCAGGACACCACCACTAGGCAAATCCCTCCAGTAAACATATCAATTAACTTATTAGTGTGTCTGTCTCACACACAGAAGCCTCTACATGGCAAAGAACAGGTCATTTCCAAATGCACTAGAGCTTCCACTTGGTCTAAAAACCATGACAATACAAAATCCATACATGATAAGAATGACAACATAGCTTCTCCAGAGTCCAAACCTGAGCTTGGTGGATAACGCTGATGAAAGATGTGAGATTCACAGTCCTAGAGACATCGATTCATGCACAGATACAGTCTGTTACACAGCATGTACAGCAAAGGCAGTAAAAGTGAAAATGTGTCCATTTTGCCACACCAGTGTGCCTGAAAACCCTGTAAGTCTGGAAGGGTGAGTTCACTCTCCCTGCACATTCCCTACTTGACTTTTCCATTGAGACTGCTAGCAAGGGTTCCAATTAGTGCCACTAGTGATTACTGTACGTGTTTAAGGTGGACACATATATATGGAACGGAACTTGACCAGCTCATTTCACCTCAGCCACTAATTTGCTGATTTTTAAGGGTCTACTCAACTGCTTGACCTCAAATGCAGCAGTTGAAGTCAAACTTAATTTTTAAAAGCTTTTATAAAATAAAAACATCTCACAATTTCTCCTATAATAATTCCACAAAAATTATTATAAAAGAAGACAACAATCTTCTTTGATGTGTTTATTTTCTTGCTTGGTTTTTTGCAAGTCATTTTTGCTCTCTTACTTATGAGGCCTACATGGCATGTTGTAATAGTTTTCCAGCATGTAAAAAGTAACCTATTACTACAGAAATACAAATTCTTTCTACTGAACACACAGCACTTTGGGCACAGCAGCCAGAGGGAGTGTCAGTCAATATTAAACCCAACAACCTGACCCAACAGCCTGAAAGCACAAGTAGTATCCGTGACAGAACGAAAAAGAGCAGAATACCAGGAAGCATTGGAATATGCTCACCTCTATTATGTTTGTGACAATCCTGCCAACAAATGAGGTGTTGCACAGCTAACTGTTCTATTTGCTAAATCCAAGTCATTTTAGTATTGGTGGGAGAGAAGGAAGGGTTATTTTTAAACTAGGGTTGCTTTGATTTGTTACAGCTGGTGATTTTATTTGATAAATACCATAGCTCCAAGCAAGGTCATTTGATGCCTCATGTGTTGCCCAAACCACCAAGACAATTTATTAGGATATTAGAAGCCCTGGGCACCTTTATCCCACTAAATGTTCCTCTACTTTTCTCTGTCTTCCCCACACCATCCCGTGCCTGTCTTTCTAGCTCTGTCTCTCCCTCTTCCTCTTTGGTCTTTCTTTTTTTCATCCTGCTTTGCGCTTTTGTCCATGTCTTTCCTCTCACTGTACATCAGTGTGACATACTACCTGCCTCGACTTGTGCACACTTTGCTCAAGTTTTGCAGACATGCAAACTGAGTGCAATTATTTGATCATTTAGCCCTTGTGTCATCTGTTGATCTTGGGTAGAAGATGAAAATTCAATATGAGCTTTTAAAAAGAGGCAGGGCTCTGAGAGAGGTAGCAGGCTGAGACAGAATGAGGCTTAGTGTATGCACATAAAAGCAGAGCTCTACAAAAACTCTATAACATAGATGACTGACTTTTCTGCAGCCATAAACAAGGCACCACTACAGATCTGTACAAACTGTTTTCATACCCAGGGTTGAGTACAATTTATAGAACTCTCCCAAACAGGAACTAATTTAAAGAGCTCTGACAGAGAGGTCCTGAGATGCTAAAGAGGTGAGATTGGAAAGGTCCAGAGAAACTGAAGAGGTGAGAGAAGCGGCATCCTGAAAGGTGAGGTCAGAGAGGTCCAGAAAGGGTGAAGAGATGAGATTAGAAACATCCAGAGAGGTTGATAAGGATAAATCAGAGGAACGCTGAGATGTTAAAGTGTTAAAATTAGTGAGGTCTAGTGAGGGTGAAGAGGTCGAAGAGGTGAGATCAGATACATTCAGAGAGGGTGAAGAGACTCCATAAGGAAGGTCCAAGGAAGTTGAAGAGGTATGACTGGAGACGTCTAGGGAGGGTGAAGATGAGAGACTGGAGAGATCCAAGGAGGCAGAAGAAGTGGGACTGGAGAGGTCCAAGGATACTGAAGAGCTGGGATTAGAAAGGTCCAGAGAGCCCGAAAAGGTGAGACTGGAAAGGTCCAATGAAACTGAAGAAGTGAGACTGGAGAGTTGCAAGGAATCTGAAGATGTGAGACTGGAGAGCTCCAAGGAAAGTGAAGTGGTGATGCTGGAGACATCCAGAGAGGCCAAAGAGCTGCAACTAGAGAGGTCCAGAGAAGATGAAGAGGCGAGATCAGAGAGGTCCAGGGAGGATGAAGAAGTGTTGCTTGAGAGGTCCAAAGAATCTGAGGAGCTGAGACTGGAGAGGTCCAATGAATCTGAAAAGGTGAGTTTGGAAAGTTCTAAGGAGGCTGAAGACTCAAAAATGGAGGGGTCCAGGGAGGCCAAAAAGGTGAGACCATGGAGATCCAGGGAGACTGAAGAGACTGAAAAGCCAAGTAAATCCACAAAATGATTGGCGTTTTATACGATCGTAGGCAGGTTCAGCTAAAACTCTCCAACAATTAAAATGCTAAGAAAATATAAAACAATGAGAACATGAAAACCAATTAATATTACTACTGAAAGTAACTAAACACAGATTTCACTCTGGGATTTTAATCAACTAAATTCTAATATTATAAGCTCACAACATGATCCCTTAGAACAGTGGTTTCCAAAGTGGGGT